TATTAAGGAAGTGAAATGTCGAATAACTCAAGCAAAGACAGCATTTTACAAAATGAAAAATATTTTATGCAATCCTTATTTGTCAATTGAGACAAGAAAGAGAATTCTTAAAAGCTGTATAATTTCTATATTGATATACGGGAGTGAATCATGGAAAGTTAGTTCGGAAGCTGCTGAGATGTGGCTTTTTAAACGAATGATCAGAATACCCTGGACAGATAAAAAGAGTCATGACGATGTCTTGAAAAAAACTAGCTTATGAAGAGAACTGATTGTCCACATCAGAATGAGACAATCTGCATTCTTTGGTCATATAATCAGAAGGAGAAACCTGGAGTACATCGCGACGGTAGGAAAGTTGGAGGGGAAGACAGGCAGAGGGAGACGAGAGAAACGATGAAGAAAAGTCTGACATCATGACGTGGAAGATCATTTGTGTCAGAGTTGACTGAAAGTGCACGAGACAAAAGGTTGTGGATTGTCCTGACTACCAACGTCACGGGGCTTGGACTTTAAGAAGAAGAAGAAGCAAATGACAGATAATTTGATGATGATGGTGGTTGTAGTGCTGGTTCACCGTGTGATGCAACTGTTCTTCTTCGTTCGTCTAGTGATCTTTTGATTTGGCCTAATTCAGTCCAGTGAAAAAACACAAGTTAGCTGTTCTGACAGGCAGGGGAGACGACGACTAGGAACCATGAAGACACTGTGTCTACTACTGCTGACTTTCTCAATGGTAGGAGAAACTTCAGCTCTGTTTGGTAAGTGGCAACATTCAGTTTCTTATCGTGTTCTTGCTTTTAGTTTGACAGTGTGCTTCCACGTGAATCCTCCGTCTGCTAGTTCTGCTGCCTTGCTACCTACCTGTGTACCTACCTACCCAGTGATGTGTGAATAATCCATCTTATATGTCCATCAGTGATGTTTGACTGATCCACCTGACATATCAAACAGTGATGTTTGACTGATCCACCTGACATATCAGTGATGTTTGACTGATATAACTGACATATCAAACAGTGATGTTTGACTGATCCAACTGACATATCAAACAGTGATGTTTGACTGATCCACCTGACATATCAAACAGTGATGTTTGACTGATCCACCTGACATATCCGACAGTGATGTTTGACTGATCCACCTGACATATCACACTGTGATGTGTAACTGATCCACCTGACATATCCGACAGTGATGTTTGACTGATCCACCTGACATATCAAACAGTGATGTTTGACTGATCCAACTGACATATCAAACAGTGATGTTTGACTGATCCACCTGACATATCAAACAGTGATGTTTGACTGATCCACCTGACATATCAGACAGTGATGTTTGACTAATCCACCTGACATATCACACTGTGATGTGTAACTGATCCACCTGACATATCCGACAGTGATGTTTGACTGATCCACCTGACATATCAAACAGTGATGTTTGACTGATCCAACTGACATATCAAACAGCGATGTTTGACTGATCCAACTGACATATCAAACAGTGATGTTTGACTGATCCAACTGACATATCAAACATCGATGTTTGACTGATCCAACTGACATATCAAACAGCGATGTTTGACTGATCCACCTGTCCCGCTTATATGTATCTTGTGTATCCAGGTTTTCTAGGACACATTGCCCAAGGAATCGGCAACATCTTTGACTTCGGCATCACCCATCTCAACAAGCTGGTCGACACAGGGGTCAAGATCGGCTCGCACGTCATTGGAACTGTTGTCGACCCGTTCGGTTTCTGGAGGCGTGAGTTACATCCCCTGTGTCATAGTTGTCAATACTCATGGTGCTCCTGTGTTGTGTATAAGGGGCAGCCACCTGTTGTTTGCTGCATGTTGCATAGGCTTTTGGTTGCTTATTGGCCTATTCTGGCTTGTTTTGTTTTAATCTATTTGTTGTATTATCTAAATATTCTGTATGGCCCGATTTCATCTGTGTCTGTTGAATGTCACAGTTTATCTCGGGAGTACACACACACACAAACACACGCATATATACACACATAAGTATATTATAATATACATATGTTGTATCCCGTGAATATAAATATTCGTTTTTCGCCTTTATTTATGTAAGTTACTATTGTATCTCGTGATTATAAACGTCCGTGTTTTGCCTTTATTTGTGTAAGTTGCTATTGTATCTCGTGATTATAAACGTCCGTGTTTTGCCTTTATTTGTGTAAGTTGCTATTGTATCTCGTGATTATAAACGTCCGTCTTTTGCCTTTATTTATGTAAGTTGCTATTGTATCTCGTGATTATAAACGTCCGTGTTTTGCCTTTATGTGTGTAAGTTGCTATTGTATCTCGTGATTATAAACGTCCGTGTTTTGCCTTTATTTGTGTAAGTTGCTATTGTATCTCGTGATTTTAAACGTCCGTGTTTTGCCTTTATTTGTGTAAGTTGCTGGTGTGACCTTAAGTCCATCAGTTTCAAATGTAGCTCTTGAGTGTGTGAGAGAATCTGTATGT